ATGCTCAGAGCTGGGGAGGGGCAGGGATGGGCAATCCCCAGCCTGTAGCTCCTAACATGCCCTGAGCTCCAACTGTTAATTCTGACTGGGCTGCTGTCATGTTAAGGAGGGTTAGCCAGCAGCCTGGGGACTAAGGTGTTGATATACCTAACGCAGGTAGAGCTGGCTGATAGGAATGTAGGTAGGAATTTCAAACTAGGACAAAGAAATGTTTAGTTTCTCCCGCCTTTGTCCTGGGGAGTTTTTCTTCAACTACTGAGGGAGTCAGACACCAATTCCCCGACCATGAGTATTACCTTGTGACTTTTCCATCAAGTCATGATGCTTGCAACAGGAAGATTGTGGTGATAATAAAAGTTCTTTCTCTTCTCTTTTATTTACCTGGTATTGGTTAATTTTTGTGTCCTGGTTTTACTTTAGGGGATGAGATTTCCCAAGTAGTCTCTCCCTGGTTTCTTTATTATTACGTGGGTGGTGGCAGCGGAGTCTTTATCCTCAAAATCCAGGTTGTTAAGATTTGGGTGGGGGGGTTACCAAAGCCTGGAAAGATAAGGTTTTGGGGTACTTTTGCGGGCCCCCACTTACGCATTTATTGTGCCAGAGTGGGGAAGGAGCCATGACAGATGCCAAGGGCCAGGACTTCTTTTCCCTTTACACAGGACACTTCTGGAGCCATAGCAGAGCCACCCTGGGGAACCTCTCACTGACGCAGGAAGTTCCACAGCCCTCTGCTTCCTGCCCCCATAGATTCTCAATTGCAGGGGAAGGATATACTTACTACAAGGGGAGCTGCCCTGCATCTGCCCACCCTCTATGCATCCAGACTTCCCCACAACCAGACCCCTTACCAAGCTCCATCCCCTGCTGAGATCCCTGCACTCAAACCTCCACCCGTTCCTACTCCACCCCCTTGGCCCTGAACAACCCCACTGAGCTCCTTCACCTGAATCCCATACCCCCAGCCCCAACCGGCAGCTCCCAGACCTCACCCACCAAACCCCGCTACCTCAGAACCCTGAGCCTCCTGTTAAGCCCCTGCACCCAGATCCTCGCAGCGTTTAGAGCCTCAACCACCTTCACCTGGATTCTCCATACCAAGTCCCATTCTTCTTGCATGGGGAAGCTCCTCCCCCCAGTGAACTCTTGGTCATCCAGATCCCTCGTACATACACATGGACCCCTCACAAAGTCCCCCATCTCCAGATTTCCCCACACAGAACCTTGTCTCCTCACATCTAGATTTCCCCCACACTAAGGCCCTCCACAGTGGGATCAACCCATCAAGATCACACCTTGATCAGGGGGCTGGGCTGGGCATGTATGCAAGACTCTGTTCCTCTTGCTTATTGTGGAGCTATATCGATGTGCTAATATGCCTAATAAGGGAACTATTTGTCAACAAAACATTTCCTGGATCCTTTTTGTTGTCTGTATTGTTACAGACGTACTTGCTGCCAGGTATTTTGAAAAAAATAGTTATAAAATAATTGAATTTGGTAATTAAATTGTGTTATTTTGACAACTAAAATAAGAAGAATTTTGCAGAATTTTAAAATACTCCTTACAGAATGTTTAAATCTGGGGCAGAATTCCCTCAGGAGTAACATGGCCTGTAACAACTGAGCAACACTGAGTAAATGTGGCATATTGAGTATAATATTCTAGCAGAACATTTCTTCATGAATAAGTAATACCACAAAACGTTTTTGGAAGAAAATGTCTAATATATTTGAATGATGAATACATCTGAGGAAATTCCTGACCTTCCCCTCCCCCCCCATATTTGATCTAATGGCCTAGTCCTTACAGACTTGCACAGTGCCGTAGAGGACTGCAGAATCATACTAAAACAAAAGACTGTTGTTCAGAAAGTCATGGAGTAGCTAGGAGCACTTCCAGATTTATACAGCACGTGGACTGATAACCATTACATTCAGTTGCATCATTGGAACTATTACTAACACATGCCAAGTTTATGTTAGAAAGTTGTAAAAAGGCTGTTGTTTACTAAACGAAACAACTGAACTGTTTATATTTTGAAAATATGTAATACCATGGTTATGTTCTGTCCATATTTAACCAGAATTCCCCACTGAATTCCCTAAATGCTTGCTAATAGAGGGTACAGCATGGCCCCATATTTGTTTTTTAAATGATTTTTAAGCATATTTATTAAGCTGTTGCTTTGAAATCGAAGGGTTTCACCCCTCAAGGAGCTCTGCAGGGGCAGATCTTTGTGCCTGAGTGCAGTCCCATTGAATTCAGGTGGGATTCCACAGAGATGCAGGAGTCTATCAATGTGGAGCTCTTTGAAGGACTGGAGCTAACCATTAGAAAAAGACGTGTGAAATAACGCACCTGTATCCAGGCTTAGGTTATATAGATGTAAATCAGGACTAACTCTGCTGAAGTTGGTACCAGTAACGTAATCAGAGTAATACCGCTTCTGAACTATGGTATAATACTTGAGATCAAAAGCAGTCCCTGTTCTATGAAAGATGTTTGGTGAAGTCATGGACCCTGTCCTGTATCCCTGTTCTAAAGACGGTCAAAATGCCAATTAAATTGAATGGGATTTTCGGCTGATTAGAGAAGACAGTTGTGATCCCTTCTAGTTCAAAAGAATTCTTTACCCATGTTATTAGAGACACCTTAGGTTACTAAAACTGAAAGGTATTTTAAAAGCAGTTTTATTTCCACCATTTCTGCTCATTGTTTATTTTTGTACCTCTTAGCTCAGACACTGATCTGTCATTTTCAGCATTGTTCACAGCCAATTATGGTATCTGCTCTGCATGCTTTAGTACCATATTTCACAAAGTGTCCTTCATACCCTTTAAAGCACAAAGGACTAGCTGGGGGAAGGTGTGATAAATGTTACAATTAAAGTGGGTTGACATTTAACAATGCATAGCATGGCTTCAGGGGAGTTGTGATTGGTTTTATTTTTCCAGGCAGGGCCCCAGCTTCCCAAAGTTAAGGAATAGACATGCTCACATGATGGGGAGAGCCTGAATTACAACCACTGCAGCAGGGACTCACTGAAATTGTTTTAAAACTCATGAGAACATTTATTAATATTATTATTATTTATTATTAGGTTCTTTTTTTATACAACACCGCATCTGGATCTAATTTGACAGTATCTGGTAGTAGTTCCAGACTCTCTAACTTAAAGTTTAGTAAATTGTATCTGTTTCAAATAGCCTTTCCCCACCATGGCCACTTTCCAGCCCTTAAGTGTAAATACTGTATATTTTCTCCATAGCTATATACAATATTTGACTCTTTTCTCCTATGAAAGAGCAAGCAATTTTTGTACCTAATTCTCTATGATTGGACACAAATGACCATATGAGTGACCTCAAACCTCTCTCTTCCCTGAATTGTCATATCTCTGTGTTTGATTCTTTTCCTCTCTCTCTTTTCACTCCTTCAGAGTCTCCCTTCATCAGTTCTCCTCAACCTCCCTCTTTCTGTCATAGTTCCTTGGGGCTATGTTCTTTGCAATCTCTATCCCTTATTCTTGAGTGATCTCATTCAATCGAGCTATGTCTACACAGCAGCATTATTTCAGAATAATGATGTTATTCCAAAATAACATAATGTGCGTGTACACTACAAGCCTTTATTTAGAAATAAAGTCAAACTGGAGGACTTTTTACTTTGACTCATGGTAACCCTTATTCCATGAGGAGCAAGGGAAGTTGAAGGAAGAGTGTTCTTTTTCTAACTTCCTGCAGTGTGGTCAGCGCCAAAAGCTGAATTAAGCTATTTTGACTTCAGCTACACAATTGATGTAGCTGAAGTTATGTAGCTTAATTCAACTTAGCCCTGCTGTATAGACGTACCCTCACAGATTTGTCTGCCATCACCCTACTTGGGCCCTTCAGCCCCAAGCTTTCCCACTCTCTTCAGACTTGAGTGGCCTTCCTGGTCTTTATGTCAAACATAATAAGACATAGACTCATCACTTTCACTCCCAAGTTTTCCCTTTTCCACCATGGTGGGACTCTCAATCATATTTCAGTAGTTTTACTTATACCACTGTCTTCCACATTTTAATGTCTGTATGTTTGTTTGTTTATTTTTTGTTTGTTTGCTTAATTCTGACAAATCACAGTCTTAGATGTCCATTGAGTTGTGCCCTGGAGTAACCACTAAAGGAATATCATTACTGTGAGGTGATATCTTTTGTTTTGAAAGTGCAATGTTGTGCTTCATGCTCGTAGGACATTGCTTATTACCAAGCCTTATCTGCTGAACAGTTGCAGACAGAAGCTGCCAAGATTCAGCCCAGCACCTCATCCACTCAGGAGTTCTACGAGCCAGGCTTAGAGTCAGCTGCCAGTGCAAAACTGGATGATTTGCAACGTTCTTGGGAAACACTGAAGAATGTGGTAAGTCCTTTAACATAGAGGTATCAAAACTGATCTGTGGCATGTTGGTTTAATAGGAATAAAATACAAACAACTTACTTATTTTGGAGGGTGCAGCTCTATGTTAATGTTCCTCACCACTTCCCACAAATTCCACTGGTATTAAACCACACTGCTTGTATATGAAGAAGGCAGGCTATGGCCAGAGTGAACGAAGTGATGGAATAAGAGAAATCACAAGTGCAGGTTTTGTACAGGTACTTCTGATTCACTAGTGGTGTGGAAATAGATTTCTGAACAACAGAGGCTAAACCTTGAAGGGAACCCTGCAGCTGAGTGTCTGCTAAGCAATGCACAATCATGTAATGCAAAGACAGCACCTACCCCAAAGAACAGACACTCTAAGTCTGAAAAACAATGGGTGAGCACAGCAAACAGCCAGGGAGCATATGATAAAAATGAGATGATTATTCTTGGTCTGATAGGCAGTGGTCACAGTTTATTAGCTGTCAGCCTGTTTTCAAGTGCTTCATAGGAATCATGGCAAAGGCAAGTTTTGAGGAGAGATTTGTAGAGACTCTGGTTCAATTAACAACCCTTCCAAAGCCATGTTCAATATTTAAAAAGAAAATTGCTGGACATTCTGGAATTTTTCCAGCCTACTTGTGCTTTTGGGAGCAAAATGTATTTGGTGTGGAGGGGCAGGGGGTGTATGTGCACATTGCTCACAATTGGTCTATATTCTGATATTTCCCCTAATTACTTTCCCTTTTTGAAATTCTGTTGCAAAATAAGGCTATTTGTAAGCTAAAAATATAAGTAATAAATGATGATAGCTCCCTCAAGAAACCACTGATTATCTTTAATGCCCACATTCTCCTTTGGTAATTCTGTGACTAAAAGTTTATGGTTCCATAGGAGGATTGAGTAAAGATGGGCATGTACTATCCAAAGTGACATCCTAAGGATGCTGAGCAAAAATGTTTTTTAGTCTGTTTTAAATGCACGAGTACTTGATTCCAACTGTGAAATGAAACAACCCCTTCACAAAAAGCCACACATCCTGTATGGGATGCCAGAGAAAATCCCAGGATCCTATGTCTGAGGATATGTCTGCATTGCATTCAGAGGTATGATGGCAGCTCATTTAGGCATATTCAGGCTAGCTTTGATCGAGCTAGTGCAGCTTAAATATAGCACTGAGTACACAGTGCCATGGATCCTGGCACATGTGTGGAACTCAGGTACATACTTGGCAGACTTGTATAGACTATACAAAAGCCAACGCTGCCATATCTTCACTGCTATGTTTAGCTATGCCAGCTGGATTAAAGCTAGTGCAAGTTTGCCTACCAAATTGCAGTCACACCTCTGATTTCAATGTAGGCATAGCCTGAGAATCAGTGAATCAACCTGACACATTTATGTACATCAATGAAACCCAGTTATCCAGTAATGTACAAAAAAAATAGCCCGTCCTATACCCTGTTCCCTGGAGGTTCACTTACATGGTATTAATTCTAATTCTTGCTAGTGACAGGGTAGCTATTATGTGGAATGTGGAGCCATGCCTAAAACAATTTATGCATATGGCATGTTTGTGTACATGCAGCCCAGAATGTGGCAGGAGGAATGTGCTTACTTTTCACCTTTTTATTAAAATAAGGGGAGTTAGGCATAGAAGCTAGAATTTGGCCAAAAGTGACTAAACATCCTTAGTATGACTGTTTTGCTATATAATTTATATTCTTAAAAACTGCTATTGCAGACTAAGCTCCTGGCTTACAGTCCTATTTAAACCATGGATCTAGGAGGGAGAAGAGAGGAATGAGCAAAAACTTATTTCAGGAGACAGAATATCTGCTTACAGTTTTCTTTCTTTCTTTAGATTAGTGAAAAGCAGCGCACCCTCTATGAAGCTCTTGAACGCCAGCAAAAATACCAAGACTCACTCCAGTCTATATCCACAAAAATGGAGACCATTGAAGTGAAGCTGAATGAAAGTTTGGAACCTGGCAAGAGCCCAGAGAGCCAGATGGCTACACATCAGGTAAAAAAAAATCATAATAAAAAAACCTAACTAGCAACAGCTTTTGATTAATTAGATGGCTGTGTTGTTATTTACAGAATGCTTCACAAAAAGATGCAAAGTGATTGAGAATTTGTTTAAAATGTAAATTATTTCTTTAGGAAAGAGCTCACTGCAGACTACTCCCCCTCTTAAGCTCCCCATTGTTATGTAGATGGAACAGGATTTACAAAGTGACTCAAAAATAGAGAGGGGGTAAGACCAACAAAGCATATGGTCCCAAATTCTGTGCTAATTAACACCCCCTGTAATGTCTCTGAATTCACTGGAGTTGCACAGCATATCAGTCAGCACAGCATTTGGCCATTCACCATGTTTAAATTTGGCATCTAAGAGAAGACTGGAATTAGTTTTGTTGCATTTTAATGAGTTTCCTTGTGATCTTTGACTGGTTATAAGCACAGTTGAGAGTTATCTTAGGAAATGAGACTCTGACATATTTAGACTGAATGCATCATTTGATTCTGACATCCACACAACAGATCTTCTTCTGTGCATGTTTCTAACCTTAACACCAGTGAGAAGAGCACAGGGAAAGCAAAATACTAGAGTTATAATCAACATGTAGAGGTCCCTTAGCATACAACCTTACTATTCAGGTACCTACTATTGTGAGAGCAATGGCTATACCAGTATTTTCATTTTTGACTCATTTTATCAAAGTTTGTACTTAGCAACTTAAAGCTTCAAATTAAAATCTGGAAAATGTTCATGCCTAGAAATTTGGGTGGCCTGTGTCATTTGAAGATATGTGCACTCACAAGTGAGCAAAGGCCATAGGATGGGAGGAAAAGATGCCAGAGAGGAATCACTTCTCCCACCTCTTCATGCGGTCAGGAGGAAGATGCAGTGTCTCACCCATCTGTTCATTATATTTTAAAAGGGATCCAATTTAGCAGTTTAAAATTATTTATCCAAAGGGAAAAAATCATGGGCCTAATTTTCTGCCCACACACAATCCACAATCCCATGTGTAGTTTGCTATCTAAATATGCCTCTGACTGGGACTGTTCATCAAATTGCTAGATATCTAAGTTGCATAATTTGCACCCCCAAACAATGGTGGGAACAAAATTATACATTACATGTGGATGCAAAAAGGGAAGCCAGGGTGCAAAAAATCTATCCCCAGACATTATTCTTAGCTGCATCGGTTTTCTGGCCATCCTCTGTAATGGAAAACCCTCCCAGAATGACCTGCTAGTTAACAGTATACAGATTGTACATTGAGTGCTCTGCCATGTCAGAAAATTAAAACTAGACTCAGCAAAATACTATTTCAGAAGTTGGTAACCTACCTGCTTAGCAGTCAGTGTAGCTGAGGGTATGTCTACACTACCCTCCTAGTTCGAACTAGGAGGGTAATGTAGGCATACCGCACTTGCAAATGAAGCCCGGGATTTGAATTTCCCGGGCTTCATTTGCATAAGCGGGGAGCTGCCATTTTTAAATCCCCGCTTGTTCAAACCCCGTGTAGCACGGCTACACGGGGCTCGAACCAGGTAGTTCGGACTAGGTTCCTATTCCGAACTACCAGTACACCTCGGAAGCCGCGCTCCTCAGTTCCACCATAATTGTAGGTGAATTGAATTTTCTAATTGTACCCATGTCACAGCCATATTTCAAATAGCATTGTCACTGTCTTGCACAACCTAAAATGTTTGCTGAGGAACCTAAACTCGCTTCCTACAGATTACAGGCAGTCCCCGACTTACGCGAATCCGACTTATGTCGGATCCGCACTTACGAACAGGGCTTTCTCGCCCCGAAGGTCGAGGTGGCGGATTGCTACCTGTGAGCTCCGGGGCGAGAAAGCCCCGTTCGTAAGCTGCTCCGGTGCCCCTGGTCTGCTGGAGACCGTCTCCAGCAGACCAGGGGCACCGGGCGGGTTCCCGTGCTTCTGAGGGTTTGCCAGAGCAAAGCCTCAGAGGCGCGGGGAACCGCCGCTGCCGCCGCCTGCATAGTGGG